TATTAGGAAGTCAGATAAGTCAGGACGGAAGGAGTTGTAGGGATATAAAGCAGAGGATAGCGCAGGGTCGAGTCGCCTTCAATATAAAGAAGTCATTTATGTGCGTCACGTCTATGTTCGGAGCGCGGCACTGTACGGGTGCGAATCATGGACAGTTGACGCTGCGGAAAAGAAAAGGTTAGGAGCGTTTGAAATGTGGTGTTACATGCGAATAATGAGGATACCATGGATAGAGAAGATTACAAAGGAAGAGGTATTAGAAAGAATAGGAGAACAGAGGACTCCATGGAAGTTAATAAAAAATAGGAGAGGTAGGTAGTAGGACACCTCCTCAGGCATGAAGGTCTAGTTAGAAACATGTTAGAGGCAAAAACGGGAGTTAGGAGGGGTAAAGATAGACATAGATTAGATTACTGTTCGCAAATGATTAAGGATGTGGATTGTTCTAGTTTTAGGGAAATGCAAAGATTAGCTGAGGATAGCAAAGAGTGGAGGTGCGTGTCCAACCAGTCTTGGAANCCTCCTCAGGCATGAAGGTCTAGTTAGAAACATGTTAGAGGCAAAAACGGGAGTTAGGAGGGGTAAAGATAGACATAGATTAGATTACTGTTCGCAAATGATTAAGGATGTGGATTGTTCTAGTTTTAGGGAAATGCAAAGATTAGCTGAGGATAGGAAGGAGTGGAGGTGCGTGTCCAACCAGTCTTAGGACTGACGACCTTATGATGATGATGATGAATATCAAATGTTAATGACAACAGCAACAAATTGTCTCTTATTAACCTGAAGTGGTTCGTAGTGGGTAACAAATTTAAAAAGAATTTTTACAATTAAAATTTTAATGGCTTCTTGGTTGTATAGGACAGTAAATTACCAACGGAAAAATTCGTATGAAAAATTTTGAATAAAAACTATTATATTTGCGTGCTTGCGTCTCAAACGTATGTGCCAACTTCTATACAAAACAACTATAACACCGTGCGCTTATTTTCCAATAAACGGCATGTCGAGGCGGATTTCTAACCGCCCGAATCGACCGTCGAGGCGGCACAAGCAGCTTTGTATGTCATCTCTCAAGTACGTAAAGGGGCGATTCATGATAAGATGAAACAATATATGTACTGCAAATGTTTCCTCACGTACTTACTTTTCTAAAATCTAATTTATTCGAATAGAGAAACTTGTCTATAATATTCTAGTTTCAACGAAAAATATCGATAGAGAATTAGAAGCGCAGCCCGTAACTGAGGTGAATGTAATTCACTCGAGCGTCAAAATTCGTAGCGTTATTCTAGCAAATAGGTATAAAGAGAGCAGCGCTGCCCGGAGCGGCCCAGTTAAATAAAATATAATACCGTAGTCAAAGATCCCAGAGCCGCCAGACATTTTAATTGCATCTGAGGGGATGTTTGACCCGTACAATTAGTCTCGCTGCTTACAAAAAGTATTGAGATGGCTTCTTAAATATCATATTTAAAAAGGAAAACTCAGACTATAAATAATATTATGGTTTGTTTGCGAACTTTGAAACGTCTGGCAGAAATTACTGGCGATGAGAAGTGTCTAGCAGTGTTAATTATCGATTTTTAACAATATTCTGTGAAACATGTAAAAATCGGTACTCAAAGTTTATGAAAAGTTTTTATACTCTATTTACTTTCTCTTGCGATGTACCCCTTCCAATGTCTTGGATGCGCGCTGGCAAAATCGTAGGTAGGGAGAAAAAAACTCATTATACTCTCGACTATTGTTCATTAAGCATACTTTTTCATACAGTACCTGCCAAAAGTTTTGTTCAATCATGAATAGTAGTGCGAGTCGAAAACAAGCGTTAAAGCCTTTAATATGTCTTCAAATATAAATAAACATCTCGTTGATATTTTCA